TAATAGTACTCGTAAGAGATTGGAAGTCATGTAATTTAATAGAATTGCATAGAGATCAATGGTTCAACTACCGTCATAGTAGTTCAAGAACTTACCAAACACGTAACTAACGTCTCAATGTTCTATTTTACCCACCATTTGCAATTTAATTGGAAGTCTAATACCAAGTATTTATATATGCATGGGTTAACCAATGAATTATTATATCTAGGTGAGTATTACTATTAAAAAAAAAGGTTGAGTGATTTTAAAAGTTGTACTAATACAAATTAAGTTTGATTATTGTTCTAACGTGGTCTATTCAATGATAACTCCTCTGTACAAAGTATTCAACTATTCAAGTGTGCAGATTGGTAACCCACGCGCCTAAATTTTAGGTTGAAAATAAATTAAAATAGACTATTATGAAATGTAGACTATGTAGTGAACGAACAAAATATTATAGAAAGTACGGTGTACTTATCTTAGATAGATTTATGAATATATGATTGTCGTTAAAGCCTATATACATTACATGATTAAATCAAAAGTGTACATGGATTATCAATCATATGGACATATGGTAGCTTAGTAAGATTTTATTAAAAAAAAATCTAAAAAAAAAAAAACTGTTAAAAAAAGTTGACAAAACAGACTTAACTGAATTGACCAAAAGAAAAAAATTAATTTTAGATTTTAATTTGTATTTACACCAAAAAAAAAAAAAAAATTAATGTTAGATTTTAATTTGTATTTACACAATAATTTAGCATAATTTAAATAGACTTAATCTGACCCGATCTCGACGAATTAACACCTCTATATATGATCAATAGATAAAATTTAATGACTAAGCATATCCGACTCTTCTCTTTTCTTTTTTCACATTTTTATTATTTATTTAAGCAATGTTGAGGATTTTATATATTTCATATGTTGGTCTATTGACCATGTAACGGGTTGCGAACTTGATGGAGACTCAAAATCCCTCAGACGTGACACAATCTTTTATTGAACCAATTTAAATTTTAATTTTTTTATCAAACCATGGCATGCGATTAAACACTTTCAATAACTCTAATTTAATGTACGGACTACTCGTTTTGTTTTAGCTTTTTAAAATTATCCCTATTTGCAGGATAACAAGTTTCTTTTTTTTTCAATTGAAATTGATATGAGTAAATTACCAAGTACATTCTAAGGGCTTGTTCCGATTGACTGAACTCAGCTAAGCTGAACTGAACTGAGCTGAACTGAACTTATTAATTAGTGATTTTTAACTACGGATTAGTGATCTTTGATTATTTATTACTATACATATGTGTATATACAAATTAGATTATTGCTTATTGGCCATTATATTACCTTATCTTACTTGAGTTTATTAAACTTCATCATAAGCTAGTTTTAGGGTCTGTTCTAATTTATTGAATTGAGTTGAGCTGAACTGAACTGAACTGAATTGGTTGGAGTTGAACTGAACTAAACTAAACTAAACTGAATTGTTGATGAGAGAAGGAAATTAGGAACTGAAGTGGACTAAACTGGACTGATTAAAGCTGAACTGAACTAAATTGAACTGAAGTTAAGCTGAAGAGAACAGACCCTTAGTCATACCTTATTAGAACTTAATTATTAACCCTATCTTAGCTAAAAATTTATCATCTCGATATGATATTATTTGATCTTATGTGAAATCATTACCCTTTTCAAGATGACCGGAACATATATATATTTTACTTAAAGCACAAAGGAGATCAATAATTCCGGCCAAGTTGGACCTTAACATCATATATTGTGCCCAAATACGTAAAAAAAGTAGCGAGTTTTTCGGGTCAGGTTTAGGTTTTAATTTTTTTTTTTAAAAAAAAAAAACACTTTTTGGCTTGTCCAAACTCGCCTTTTTTTTCAATCTTGAACGGGCTGGGCTAGTTGGTCAAGCCATAGTTGATCACCTCTACTTAAGCGCAAAGGAGCTAAGGGTAATCCTTAATGTAAACTATTTTATAAATGCATAATGGCTAAACCCTAGAAAAGTGATTAAGTGCTTAAAAGTAATTCCTAAAATTAAAGTAGGTTGTAAAACCGTCTCATACAACATAATATTTTGTTAAGATATGTTTAATTTTAAAAGAGTGTTTTAGATTATTTAAAGTGTAATTAAAAAGGTAAACACATGTCAACTTAGAGATTTTTTTTTTTTTGACAGTTTATACAAAGAGACCTAATCTCCATTCTTCAATAAACCTACAGACAAGCAATGAAAATAAGGCATAAGCATAGTAATTTTTTTAATCAGAATTCTATTTCTCTGAGATCCTGTTTCCACTTCCTGCAGCCACCTGAGCACTCTTGCCTGTTGACAGCAGATCTTCACATGCCAGTTAAGGCCTCCCAGAGCCATCTTGAGACCTTTGTAAATAGCAGCAAGCACACTTTTCTCACCTTCTTCGTGGTCACACCACTCCTCTCCCTGGTTTACCATGACTGCATCATTTCCCAAATACCAGCACCAGCTTCTATACTTTCCCTGCTGCTTACCCCTTCGAATCTTCAATGTAGTAGTCATGCACTTCCCTGTCCCAGCAATCAGGTCCAAGCATTGATTTTCATTAGCACAGTTAGGACCAAATCCAGGAGGATAATCACAGTCCTGCTTCTAAACAGTCAAGATACAGGTCTTCCCTGCAGGTTGCTTCTGAGTATTAAGAGCAACCCTGCTTTTCATGATTTTAATAACTGCCCAAGGGTTAGGCTTGGAATTCTTAAAAATAAGACCATTCCTAGCTTCCCAAATACATTCAAATCCTGCAAAAAAGTTTAGCAAACTTCTTTCCATGCACCTGTCTTTGGCTCCCAGCAATCTTAACCAGTTCTGAATCCGGTCCTTCGACCTAGGAATACAAAATGGGGGGGGGGGGGGGGGAATTGTTGTTCCTGGTACTAGGATCAACAATAGAGGAGCTCCTTTCAACGGACCTGTTATTAACCTTGGGAATGTTCCCCCGCAAAACAATCAGCAAAACCCCATGGAAGGCGTGGATTTAAATGAACAGGGCAACCCGCAAGAAATTGCAGGGGATTTAGGGTCTAGGCAGGAAGTAATGAAAATAGTACACAAGGTCAAGGGAATAATATGGGAGAAGATCCATACACGAATGCGGAGAACTCCAATCTGCAGACTAACAGGGGAATGCCGGATGGGGTGCCTAGCCCTGACATTGAGAGTCTCAGGTTCGATCTATTAATGAGCTCTGCAATACAGTCACGAGTAGAATTAAATGATGAGATCGCTGGTAGGAGAATTGATAATGCAGGCTACAATCAAAGGTTCTTTATTGAATTCGACAATCAAAATCATCCAAGGGCAGTAGAAATAAGAGAACCAGTCTGACCTAGACCTTGTCTCAATTCAATTTATAGAGGATGAAGATGATGATGCTGACTCACTTATGGCTAGGAAAAGAAAGAAAGGGAAAAGTGTTGTTGAAGCAGCAGGAGGAAGGCCTTCTACTTCTTCTAGGCCTGGGCCTGGGCCGAATTCTTCCTTGGCCTTTGAAACTAACATTGTTCTAACATATGCAGGGGATGGGCTTGCGGTGGTTGACCCAAATCAACCACCTCTAGCGCAATGATCGGATTGATTTGGAATAATTGTCGGGGAATTAAATGCCCAACAACCCCGATTATTCCTAATATAAAAAGACTTGTTGGGTCTTTTGCTCCGGATTTTATTTTCCTTTCGGAAACTAAAGTAGCTCGGATTTAGTTTACAATCGTTTAAGATCGTTAGGTTTTAATTTCTATAAAGGTGTTGATTCCAAAGGCCTTAGTGGTGGTCTTTGGCTAGGATGGAAAGACAAGAATTTGTTCAATGTTGTTTTTGTTTGTGCCAATTTCCTTGTAGTTGATGTTAACGATTTGATTAATGGAAAGTGGAGATTGATTTTGGTGTATGGCGAACCTAGCACTTCCCATAGGAAGGAGGTTTGGGAATGTCTTAATCATTGGACAAACCCAAACCTTAATTTACCGATCACTATTGTAGGTGATTTTAATCAAGTCGACTCGCAATTAGATAAGCTAGGAGAAAAGTCAAAAACCATACGAGGTGCAAGTTTGTTTAACGATTGGAAAGAACTTAATGACCTACATGACATTACTTACGAGGGGCCGAAATTTACATGGTCCAACGGAAGGGAAGGGGATAATTTAGTCTTAGAAAGACTAGACAAAGAGTACGCTAACAAAATTTGGTTAAGTAAATTTCCACACGCATGCATCATTCACAAACCTATCCAATTATCAGACCACGCACCTATTATTTTTCAGAATCAACCAAGGAACAGGAATAAGAGAAGTATATACAAACTGGATCAATGGAGTTTGGCTTATAGTGAGTGTATTAGTGCTGCTCAAATAGGGTGGGATTCAGCTCAGAGGGGATCACCAATGTTTAAATTGGCAAGAAAAGCTCAAAGGGCGAAACTGGAAATTAAAAAATGGTTACTCGATAAAAGGGAAGAGTGGAGGGGGAAATGGGATCAATTTGAAAAGGATTTATTGGAAGTTCAATTGATTCTGGAAAACGAAGGTGATGATGAGGACTTTAAACAACTCAGAAAAAAATTTAAAGAATACTCTAAGAATATGACGATCTATTGGAGACAGAGGGCAAAAATTAATTGGAATTACTCGGGAGATACGTGCTCGAGGTACTTTTTCAATTTTGTTAAAGGGAGGAGAGCAAGGAATAAATTAGAGGCTCTCAAAGATGACAAAGGTGATTGGGTGGCCGAGGAAAAAGAAATTGCAGGGATCGCTACAAAACATTTCAGAGATATTTACAGGGGAGGTGAAGATGACAGTGCTGCTAATAGGATTGGTGATATTGAAAGCGACATCAAGGGTAGCGCACGAAAGCTTACAGAGGATCAAAGAGATTCTCTCTCGCGCCCATACACGAGAAGGGAAATAAAAAATGCTCTCTTTGCCATGAAGTCGTGGAAAGCTCCGGGGCCTGATGGGATTCCAGCAGGTTTCTATCAACAAAATTGGAACTGGGTGCAGGAAGATGTAATTGAAGCTGTGCAATCTGCTCTCAAAACAGGTAACATACTAAAAGAATTTAATTGCACGAATTTAGCTCTTATTCCGAAGTGTGACAACCCAGAAACTATTGATAAGTTCAGACCAATTGGCCTTTGCAATGTTACCTACAAAATCATTTCTAAGTGCATTACCAATAGATTGAGGAAGATGATTAGTGATTTGGTTGGTCCATTCCAGAATGCTTTTATCCCAGGTCGAGCTATTTCTGATAACATCTTAATAGGTCATGAACTGCTAGAGCATATTAGGACGACTAAGAAAGGAGTGAAAGGGAAGTTAGCTCTTAAAACGGATATGAGTAAAGCCTACGATAGAATTAAGTGGGACTTCTTAGAGGAAGTTCTAATTAATTTTGGGGTGCCTAACTTGATGGTCAGAACGATCATGAATTGTGTGTGTTCTGTCTCTTTATCTGTAATTATTAATGGCTCACCTCAAGGAAAATTTCTTCCTAAATGTGGTCTTCGTCAAGGGGATCCCCTATCCCCCTATCTCTTCATACTTTGTATGGAAGCCTTGTCTGGATTACTTAAGATTGAGGAAGGAAAAGGTAACATTATGGGGTTAAGTGTAGCTCACAAAACCCTAAAATCAGCCATCTATTCTTTGCGGATGACTCGGTATTTTTCTTACATGGTAAAGAGAGGTATGTTCAAAATTTAAGTGAGGTCCTCAATATCTACTGCAAGGCCTCGGGACAGGTGATCAACCAAGAAAAATCAGTCCTACTATCTAGTCCTAACATGAATGATAATGAAGCAACAAAGTTCAGTGAGTTGTTAGGTATCAAAAGGAGCAATAAATTTGGGGTTTACCTTGGTATACCAGCTGATTTTGGAGTGAACAAACAACAGATTTTTGGTGGGTTAGTTGACACGATAAAGGAAAGATTAAATGCTTGGAATTCACTTTTTTTTATCTCATGCTGGGAGACTTACTCTAATTAAGTATGTGCTCACAAGTTTGGGTACATATGTGTTGTCTGTGTTTAAGTGCCCTGTCAGTATTCTAAAGAAGATTAACAGTATAGTTGCCAAATTTTGGTGGCTAGGAAATAGGGCTGGTAAGGGAGTGTACTGGAAAAAAATGGTTCCATCTCACACAATCAAGAGAAAAGGGGGGTTTGGGCATCTTGGATGCTAGGTTCTTTAATCAAGCCCTTTTAGAAAAACAAGGGTGGCGCACTCTGAATGACACTGAATCACTGATTAGTAAGGTTTTTTGTCCCAAATATGGGATTGACAACAGCAAGCTTTTTGAGGATAATTGGGAAAATAGAAATTCTGGTTCCCGGGGGTGGAAGGGAGTCAAATGGGGTTTGCAGGTTCTTAAGCAAGGGTGTATGTGGTCCTTAGGCGATGGGTGCAAAGCTAGAATTCACCATCCCTGGGTTAAGGGCAAGACACCAGAGTGGAAGAACCAAAGCTCTACCACCACTGACTATGTTAGCAGGCTTAAAAAAGTAAATGGAGAATGGGACCTAGAGTTGTGTAGGATGTGGTTTTCTGATAACACCACAATGCAAATCCAGCACACAACTCACTTGGAAGCAGGAAATGATGATGATGTTGTGTGGAAAGGAAATCGAGCTGGTGTCTATACTGTAAAGAGTGGCTACAGATTTCTGTTTGATTTAAAGTATTGCTCTGAGCAAAATCAATCTCAGAATAGGGATAATTGCAGATTTTGGAAACGATTCTGGAGATATGCTGGTACTCTAAAGCAAAAAACCTTCTTGTGGAAAATTATGAAAGGAGCTTTGCCTGTGGGGAGTGAAAGGAAAAGAAGAGGGCTAGGAGACAATCATTTATGCCAACTCTGCTTTGTCAGTGAAAATAAGAACAATCATCACCTTGAATCTGTTGAGCATTTATTTAGAGACTGTTCTTTTGCCAGTCATGTTTGGAAAGGCTGTAACTGATTAGGGGATTTTGCTCCCACCAATCGGAATGCGCCACGTGGGCCAATCAGGTCCTGCCAAGTGTTCCCCAGTTGGACCTCTCAGGGCTTGCCACGTGGCACACGCTTATTCGTCCGCCTTGGACCTATTATGTCATGACACGTGGCATACTCCATGCCTAATGGAGAAGTCGGCCACCCAGGCCCAACTTCCGAGGGAAGCCCAATCAGCCCAAGGTTAACCTAAACCTAGATTGGCACGTTTCCCGAGGTTATAAATACCTCCCTTAATCCTCATTAAGGGAGGGGACGCGAACAACGCAGATTACACACATTAAACTCTCTCACCTAGAGAGACCCAATCACTTTAATTTCCGCATTAATTACTCCTTAATCAAGTACTAACTTGACCGTCGGAGGCGGATCTCCAATCATCCGGAGCATCCGTTTGTTTTGCAGGTACAGGCGTCCGGTTCCAGTCTCGGAATTGTAACTCTCCCGCAGGACATCAGAAAACCCCGAAACATTTTGGCGCCGTCTGTGGGGAGAGTACTTCTGAGATGGCATCCACGTTTGTACCGGCTCCTGAAGAGAGACGTCCCCTGGACGACCCTCTAGTTCAGTCGGACCACGATACTGAGAATGAATTTGAAGTTGAAGCTCACACAGCTTCAGACGGGACCCTAAGGGCCCGACGTACCCGTCATACCAAAAGGAGGGAACGGGAACATCTTCAAACTGGAAGCGAGCCGACTGATGGGTCTGCTCCCATCACAAGGAACGAACTCATGACCTTCATGAGGGACTTCAAGGGAGAAATTCAAGAGTTGATCAACAAGAAGCCGCCTGCTCTGGACAAGGAGCAGTCGGCTAAGAAACCCTCCACTTCACGGAAGAGGAAGCCAGTTCAAGGGCGAGAGGCGACCCCTCATCCTAAATCTAGGAAGTGGGAGCCACCTGCCCTTGATTTCACAAAATACCGTTTTCCTACTCCAGGAAATAGGAAACATGTTCGTCATATTCAGGCGGACGGGTCGAGGAAAACATACACAGACGCTCGGCTACTGCTAGAACAGAAGAAGAGTGACCGATTGTCAGAGTCGGCCTCTACTTCAAACTTCCAAGACAGTCTGCGAAATACCTCGATGAGGCATACTCAGTCGTATCATGAGAGTCAGTCAGGCGGCACCTCCCGTCAGTCCGGCTTTCATAGCGACCAGGCGGTACCAAACTTACCGTTTGTACCGCAACAACAGTATTTTTTACAGCCACCTCCGTTTGGTGGACATGCAGCAAAAAATGTCCAACCTATGGACTGGCAGCTACGGTTGCTTAGACTTGGTGAACAGCCGTTGGCCTTCTCCAAGGAAATTACTGAAGCCGCTCAGCCGGCCAAAGTGAAAAATGTATTAGCGCACGTGTTCCCCAGTCGGACCATCTGATGGCATTCACCAACCTGATGTACCTTCAAGGGTTGGATGATCCCACTTGGTGCAAGTGTTTCCCAGCGACTCTCAAAGGAATCGCACAACAATGGTTCGGCAACCTGCCGACTGGTTGTGTAAATAACTTCAAGACGCTTGCTTACTTATTCACCTCCAACTTCGCCATGAACATCCCTGCGAAGAAGACGACCCTTGATTTAGGAACAATTCAGCAGGGCGAGAAGGAGGGGCTTTGTTCTTACATCAGGCGGTTTAACCTGATGAGAATACAGATTCAAGGGTTACCGGATGAAGTAGCCTATACTGACTTTTTCAGAGGTCTCAAAGACGGGTCGACCTTCAAATTTGATTTGGTCCGAAAGAGGGTGGCGACTCTTCAAGAGGCCTTGATTGAAGCGGAAGCCTATATACAGGCGAATGATCTTTGTAGTACGGTAAAACAGTCAAACGGGAAAAGGTCCGACAAAAGAGAAGGACGACAGAAGCAGTCGTCAAACAAAGACGAGAAGAGAAAAGAGGTCTGGGCAACTGATTCCTCTAAACAGCCGGCCCAGAAAAAGAAAAAAGAATTCAAACCATACTCCCCAAAGTATGTGTTTAACAAGGATAGCCAGTTTATCCTAAAGGAAATCAAGGGACGGATCTCAATTGAGAAGCCGGTCCCCATGAAGGGTTCTGCAAACAACCGAAACCAAGAAAAATTATGTGATTATCATGAAGATGTTGGTCATCACACCAATGAATGCATCAGTCTCATGCGGTATCTGGACCGCCTGGCTGAGCAAGGTGATCTTAACACTTATGTCAAGAAATCTACGGGGAACACTTCCTCGAAAAAGCAGTCGGCCAAAAAGAATCAACAGGCCGACAGCTCCGATACAGATGATGCAGTCGTCTACACCATTGCAGGCGGCTTCTCAGGAGGCGGCCCCACTATTAGGGGCAACAAAGACAATATCAGACGGTTAGATGTAAATTCCGTTCACCAAGAACGACCCTCCAAATATTCATTTCCTGAGATTGTCATCACTGAAGAAGATGTAGGAGGGGTAAGAGGGCCGCATGACGACCCTATCGTTATTGAATGTAAAGTGGCCAACCAGAGAGTTGGCCGAATCCTCATAGATACCGGAAGCTCCTCAGATCTCATCAGTAGCAAATGTCTGTCGAAACTAAAATATCAGACTGATTGCATACATCCGGCATCCCACCCTTTAGTAGGGTTTGGAGGGGGAGTCGTCCACCCAGTGGGACGAGTGGATTTACCCATCCGCCTGGGTGAAAAAGGGGAAGGACGACACATGGTAGTCCAGTTCTTGGTAGTAGAAGAACTCTCGGCCTACAACATGATTCTGGGACGACCAACCCTGAATAATTCCAAGGCTGTTATAATCCCATCTCTTATGTTGCTCAATTTTGAGAGGGATAATGGAACAGTCGGGTCCCTAAGGGGAGATCAGAGGATGGCCCGAGAGTGCTATCTCTCGGATGTCAAGCCCACTGTTATGGCCACTATGTCGAGCGGTGGAAAAATAGACCTTGACAATGTCAAGGAGAGTGCGCCTGTTCAAGAAGCAGGCGACAAGAAGAGAAAGGCATCCCAGACAAGGGCCGCAAGAAAAGACAGAAAATAGCAATCATTGGCAGAGGAGCG